GGCTGCACTCCGCGCTCCGCCCGCACAGCTCCTCGCGGTCGATCCGAGAATTCACAAACAGAATGCCATTCTGCAGGTTTACCTCCAGAAGGTCCCCGCGGCCCTTGGACGCCAGGCGGAACACGCGGGGCACCAGCTCGGCCAGCTCCAGCCCCAGGTCCTGGGCGATGCGGCCCACGAAGGTGCCGTGTTTGGCCTCCTCGGGGACCGAGTAGCGGACCTGGCCGCTGCCCGCCCCCCAGGCTACGAGGAGCAGAAGGGAGAGCAGCAGGCGCCTGATACCTGGGCCTCCTGGCCAGGAAAACTGCATGGTACATTCAAAGGGTCCAGAGATACTGGAAGTATATAATACCTTACCTCAAGCTGCCGCTCAAGGTTCAATTCTACGTTCTTCTGTTGTAGAAGGATTCGCTAGGTATTTCCCACTATCTGCCAAATTTTCTGCAGGATAAAGCGGAAGCTCTTTCTTCCGCAAACGTTCTCAGTGAAGAGCGACACCAAGCGGACGAAAGAGGGAGTGTAAAATTGACTCAGTCTTCGTATTTCCCATTAATGTAGGATTTTTCTTCTATTTCCTGACTTTTTCACTGTAAATACGTAATTGAAGATTAAAATGTTCTTTCCAGGGCCTCCCTGGTGGCGCAAGGGGTTAAGAACAGCACTATGAAGCCTCTGTAGCACGAGTTCGATCCCCCGCCTGCCAGGGAGCAACCCACAGGGCGCAGCAGACCTCTCCTGTCTCGCCTGCTGCTCCCCTCAGCCGTGTATTTCAGTCAATCCGCCTGTTCTGCTCCCTGCTCTGTCTCTGGTGAATCCTCTCCCCTCACCCCCTACCCCCTACCCCACGCCCCGCATCTCTGCCCGGTACCTCAGCTCTTGTATGCATAAATAAACCTTTTAAAAATATGTTCTTTCCATAAATATTAAATCAGTGCATTCATCTCTGCAGTAGATGTCAGTTGACAAATGACTTATGGCTGCCATTTTTCCATAAATATATTTTTTTGCATGTGTAAAATTTCCATCAGAATTTTAAAAGAAGGGGAATATTCTACATTTGCTTTTGGAAATCTTTCTCTAGTTCCACATAGCCTTTAAGGTTTTGGTGGGAATGTCTTTTTCCTGTTATATTTTTGAGACCTGCTCACACAACAGTCATTGGCTGCAACTGGAAATATAACCAATCTTAAAAGAATAAGATGGGATGGTTTTTAAAAATATTGGTAAGCAATATACCATATTTTAAATAAATATGCCATATTTATAACTCCCCCACATATGATTGTGAAATGTGGGTATTTGTTCTTAAAGTGTCCAATGTGGGTATCAGTTTGCGTATTTGTGTATCATGTATGAGCATAAACACACAACAATTTAAACCATTTACGTATAATGCTTTACAGTTCTGAGTTCTCTTTGTTTAAAAAAATGTCAAAAGTTACTATTCTGTGTATTTGATAGAATTTAAATTATTACCAATAGGTTACTACCTCTTCTCCCCATCTTACACTAATTAGGAAAAATCCTAATTATCATATGAATTGATTGCTTAAGCAACAAGTCCACATAGATGTTAACATTAATCTGTAGCAAGGAAGAGAGAAAAGGAATCCTACTTTTATCTATTTTTATAACTATCATCATCAACCTACAAAGTTCCAGGCCAAATAGCACAATGATATTCTTGCCCGTTTTTGTATAACTCTTCAGAAAATAACACATGGGTTCATTTGGTATTTGATATTATACCCATCCTTTTATACTCCTTTACTTTTATTAACATAGCTTTGCTTTTTATTGAAGTGATGTTGCATTGTAACATCATACAATAGCTTTACTCTTAATAAGCAGAGTCCCTTGATTCCTTCTATTCTTGTCTATCAGACCTACCCTAGACCACATACTCAATCATTTAAAATATACACTTTCAGGGACTCCCTGGTGGTGCAAGGGGTCAAGCACCACACTATGAAGCAATCCACAGCCTCTGCAGCACAAAGTTCGAACGCTGGCCAGGGAGAAAACCACATGGCGAAGCAGACCTCCCTGTCTCACCTGCTGCTCCCCTCAGCAGTGTATTTCAGTCAGTCTGCCTGTTCTGTTCCCCACTCTGTCTCTGGTGAATCCTCTCACCCTCCTGCACATTTGGCCTGTACCCCAGCTCTTATATGCATAAATAAATAAATCTTAAAAAAAACAATGTAAGGACAAAACAAAAGAAACAAAAAGTTTTAAAAATAAGTAAATAAATAAATTTCAGCTATCTGTAACCTAACTTCCTTATGATTTTAACCCTACTGTAGCAAAATGAATGATGGTGCCCAAAAAGATATGCCCACATCTAGACCCCTGGAACCTAGGAATATATTACTTAACATGGCAAAAGATGTGATTAAGGCTCTTGAGAGGAGGCCTTAGCCTGTATTATACAGGTGAAGCCTAAAGTGCAACCACAAGAATCATTATAAAACAGATATATGCAAGGCTACGTGGCCAATAAGAGCAGGTAAAGTGACCACAGAAGCAGAGATTGGAGTACTGTGGCCACAAGCCAAGGAACACTGACAGCCATTAGAAGCTGGAAGAGACAATAGCTTATCTCCAACAGAGCTCCAGGAGGAGGAAACACTTTCATGTTAAACTTCTGTTCTCCAAAAATGTGAGAGAATAATTTTTTTGGTCATCATAAACCAATCAGTTCTTGATAATTAGAGCAGCACCAGGAACTAACACACCTACTCACCTAAATTCTTCAAATGGACACACTGCTTTTCATTTTTTCATATCTCTTGATGATTTTATACTTTCACAGATTTTACCCCAAAGTAATTGCTCCCAAATTAATATCTATAATCTAGCCTGGATTCCAGACCCATAGTTCCAATAGTAATCATATTCTCCTAGAACCTCAAGAGAAACATCCTCTTAAATGTTCCTATCCGGGCCTCCCCTGGTGGCACAGCGGTTGAGTGCTGGGATAAATAAATAAATAAATAAATAAAACAAATAAATGTTCCTATCCATCCCCTTGCTACACAAACACACAAATTATTCATCTAACTTGATCCCTCTTCTTGGTCAATGGCAATCTCATCCTCCCAGGTGACCAAACTAAAAATATTAGCATTACCTCTACTTTTATCTTTCTCTTATCATTTGTATTGAGTCAGTGTCTGGTTACTTTTATACTGCCAGTGCCTTTTACACATATTTCTTTCAATTAATTTATACTGCCATAATTTCAGTCTCCATTACTGAAAACTTAACATATTATAAAAGAGATTTTTTACATGATTTCCTACCTTCAGAATCTCCCCTATTCCAATCCTTCAAAAACATATTCATGGGTGCAAGTTCTGCTCATTTATTCATACTTCTCTCTCCATCTATAATAACTTCTTGTTAAAATGTTATCTGTCCTACAGGCACTCCTCAAAACAAAACATTGCCTAATCTCTAAAGTCCACTTCCACTTCTCTCATGGAAGGAATCAACCAGGAAGTAAATTTTGTTGCAATGTATTTACTCAAAAATTATTAATTGAACATATGCTATATCCCATGTCCTCAACTAAAGATCTGTGAGAGAGTAGTAGGCAAAACACTGCAAAGTGTAATTCCTTCAATAGCACACTGAGGGATTTAAAGTTTTATTTTCTGACTGAAGATAAACCTCTAGGTATTTTTGTGGAAAAAATTACACTATGTAATTATCACTTTAGAACATTCACCTGATAGTGGTCTCAAGGCAGTAGCAAGCATATGGATTTGTGATCCTCCTAAACTGGAGGAATTATCTGTGTAGTTAAAGCTGAAGGTTTCTCATCATAAGAGAGAAATTGATAAATATTGCAATATTGTACCTGCACCATAGAGGGCAGGCATTGTAATAAATTGAGATAAAATGAAGATCTTAGCACAGGTTCTGGAAAATAATAAAGGATCTATTAGTACTCTTATATTGAATAAAAGTTATGCCATAAAATATAAGGGGCACCATTATTTCCATGCTACCAAAAAAGAAAGACAAATTATTATGAATGATCAATTACAACGCTGCTTACCTATAACTTCATTAAGGTACATTTATAAGATGATTTTAATAATTTATAAAATGGTACAAGTTGATTTAGGTGGTTATATTTTAGATGTGAAATTATTTTATTATAGTTTATTTATATAACAAAGGCAGAGTAGCCATAACAGAGTAGCCATAACAGAGTAGCTTGAAAGAAAGTCATTTAGTGTGAATAGAAAATTATTCATCTTAAAATTAACAACATAATTTATATTATTGTTATGATACTAGAGAAAGGAGATTTTCTGAAATTAGAATGGTGATCAAGAAGGCGAATTTATAAGCCAATGCATTTTATAAACCAGTTAATGGTATTCAGGAACTCATTTCACTAAATTGCAAGTGTCCTATAGCCATGAAATTAGCTTCAAACTAAACATAAATTTTTCAAATACCTAGGCAGTATTTAACACTAAAATTTTAAAAGGGGGCCTCCCTGGTGGCACAAGGGTTAAGCACAGCTCTATAAAGCTATGCTCAACCTCTGCAGCACAAGTTCCATCCCCAGGCAGGGAGCTACCCACATGGCACAGCAGACCTCTCCTGTGTCGCCCGCTGTTCCCCTCAGCAGTGTATTTCAGTCAGTCTGCCCGTTCTGTTCCCCACTCTGTCTCTGGTGAATCCTCTCACCCTTAGAACCTCTAGCCTGTACCCCAGTTCTTGTATGCATAAATAAATTATTTTTTAAAAATTTTAAAGGCTAATATTCATAGTAAGATGAAAAATGATACAACAATATTTTAAAGTTGGTGACCAGTGTCATCTATTTGCTCTACATCTCATTCATTGGTGCTAGAAAATTAGGTGAACTAAAAAAAAAAAATTCAAAATTACTGGGTGATCAAAGATGTAGAGGAAAATGAAGGAAAAAAGACATATCAATGCCCTAGGAAAGTACTTAAAGGGAAAAATATACTTTGATATCAATGACTTACTTCACTGGAAGAATGTAGAGACTCTTCCGTCTGTGAAACACCAGGGCTGAAGGCCATGAGGTCGGTCTTGGGCGGGCCCTCCCCGGAGCACACCCTCTGCCGCCGCTGCTGCGAGCACGACCAGCTCCCCACCGCGCTGGCGCACACCAGCGCCGGCTTCCCGGCCGCGCCCGCGCCCGCGCCCTCGCCCGGCGGCGCCGCGCAGCGCAGCGCCACGTACAGCAGCAGCGTCAGCACCAGCAGGCTGGACACGGCGCAGATGGCGACGATCAGGTACACGTTCACGTCCAGCAGCGCCGTCGGCGCGCCCGCCGCGCCCTCGGGCGCGCGCGACGACGCGCGGGGCGCCAGCCCGCTCTCCACCAGCGACAGCAGCACCGTGGCCGTGGCCGTGAGCGCCGGCTCGCCGTGGTCCTTCACCAGCACCAGCAGGCGCTGGCGCGGCGCGTCCGCCTCGTCCAGGGCGCGCGTCGTGCTGATCTCGCCCGTGTACAGCCCCACGCGGAACGGGCCGCGCGCGCCGCCCGCCGCCGCCGCCGCCGCCGGCTGCAGCAGCTCGTACGACAGCCACGCGTTGTAGCCCGAGTCCGCGTCCACCGCGCGCACCTTGGCCACCACGTGGCCCGCGCCCAGCGAGCGCGGCACCAGCTCGCCCGCGCCGCCCGGCAGCAGCGCGGGCGCGTTGTCGTTCTCGTCCAGCACGAACACCTGCAGCGTCACGTTGCTGCCCAGAGGCGGCACGCCCGCGTCGCGCGCGCTCACCTGGAACTGCAGCAGCTCCAGCTCCTCGTGGTCCAGCGGCTGCAGCGCGAACACCCGGCCGCTCTCCGCGTGCACCGACACGTAGCTCGACAGCGCGCGCTCGCCCACCCGCCGCTCCACCAGCGAGTAGGACACCCGCGCGTTCTCCTGCGCGTCGGGGTCGCGCGCCGACAGCGTGCAGATGTGGCGGCCGGGCGCGTTGTTCTCCCTCACGAACACCGTGTGCTCGGGCTGCGCGAACGCGGGCGCGTTGTCGTTCACGTCGGCCACCTCCACCCACACGCTGGCCGTGGCCGACAGCGGAGGCGAGCCCCCGTCGCGCGCGGTCACCACCACCCCGTAGCTCGGCACGCTCTCGCGGTCCAGGGCGCTGTCCAGCACCAGCGAATAGTAGTTCTTGAAGGTGGACACCAGCTTGAAGGGGACGTTGGGTGTTACAGAGCAAGTCACCTGTCCATTGGCCCCGGAGTCTTGGTCTGACACACTGATAAGCGCAATGACTGTATTAGGCTCCGTGTCCTCTGGCAGTGGGAGAGACAAAGAAGTCACGGTGATTTCAGGAGCATTGTCATTGGCGTCTAAGATTTCTATCCAGATTGTACAGTGACCTGCCATTGGAGGATTCCCCTTATCTGTGGCCTCTACTTCAATTTCATAAAACTTGTTTTCTTCATAATCTAAAGTTCCATTGACCCTCACTTCTCCATTATTTTCATCCAGTGTAAATAACTGTTTTCCACTGGGCTTAATCGACCTCAAGGAGTATGTTACCTCTCCATTGACGCCTTCATCTCGATCTGTAGCATTTACCTTTATCACAAAAGTTTCTTTAACTGCGTTTTCCATCAGTCTTACCTTGTATTCTGATTGATCAAATTCCGGGTCATTGTCGTTAATATCCAAGACACCGACAAAGAGCTGAACGGTGCCTGTGAGCGCCGGTTTGCCCCCATCCGCAGCAGTCAGTAGCAAACTGAGTTCAGGAGTTTTCTCTCTATCCAGAGACTTCTTTAATGTAAGTGATAGTCTTTTACTTGGCTTGATACTTGTTGGTAATTCCAAAGAAAAATACTCATTTTGACTTAGTTTGTAGGTCAACTGAGCATTCTCTCCTATGTCCGCATCAGAAGCTCCCTCTAGAGGAAAATGAGAATCGGGTTGCTTAGATTCCGATATCAACAGCTTTTGTTCTCTGAGAGAGAACACAGGCGGGTTGTCGTTAATGTCCCTCACCTCCACCTCCACGTGGAACACCTGCAGCGGCCTGTCCACGATCACCTCCAGGTGCAGGCTGCACTCCGCGCTCCGCCCGCACAGCTCCTCGCGGTCGATCCGAGAATTCACAAACAGAATGCCATTCTGCAGGTTTACCTCCAGAAGGTCCCCGCGGCCCTTGGACGCCAGGCGGAACAGGCGGGGCACCAGCTCGGCCAGCTCCAGCCCCAGGTCCTGCGCGATGCGGCCCACGAAGGTGCCGTGTTTGGCCTCCTCGGGGACCGAGTAGCGGATCTGGCCGCTGCCCGTCTCCCAGGCTGCGAGGAGCAGAAGCGACATCAGCAGTCGCTGAGAAACTAATCCCCTTCTTTGAGATCGGAACATCGCATAGGACATTGACATCTAAAATAAGGCTCTTTACACTTACAGTTTCAGAGATTCCCGCCTCAGATAAAAAAATCTTGATATATTTTTGAGAAGTTTCAAAGGCTCCATTAACGTTACCATCTAGCATGATGGAGTTCTTTCTTATGGGAAATTTCTGCCTGTTGAGACCAACCCTTGAATCAACTATTCAATACTTCCACCAAGTAAAGAGCGACATCGTGTGCCTGAAATTGTAAGTACCATAGTCCACGTCCAACACCAGAATTTTACTTAAAAAGAAAATTTTACTTAAAGTGGAAAAAAAAAAACTTCACAGGTCATTTCATGTTAATTTATCTTGAAAATAGTCCTTCAAAATTACTTATTTATGGAACATTTAGATTTTAAATCTTATTGAAATTGATAATATGGAAAATGGTATTTTATACTTAACATTAAGTTCAAATTTTTGTTCTTATGTTTGTTCTTTCATTTATCTATATACCTATCGGCCTATAACTGTATAATACGTACATATGTATGTGCACACAAGTGTTCAATGCTATAGGTAGCCCATATGGAAAACTAGGATTAAATATTTCCTCATGTAAATTTTGTTCCTTATATAAAAACCAAATATGAATTGCTTTACTTTTAGTCTCTCTTGTTACTTTGGCTACTGGGAAACTCAAATACAAATATGAAGCTTTAATAACAAATATTTAGTCTTTATGTTTTGCATATTATATTATCTGTGTGGATTTGCCTTCTAATTGTATAATTTCCTTTAGTTCTGACATATATTCTATTGCTAATTTTCAATCTTTCACGTTTTTTTCAAATTTACAGTTTTCCTGACACTACCATTCTTCTAGAATTCATTAAATAAATTCAATACTCTTTCTCTAAAAACTAATAAACCAGATTCATCGCCATTTATGACACCAAATTCTGTGATGCATAACACAGCGATAAGTCATATAAGCCTCTAGAAAAAACATGATATGATACCAAGTACCATTAAATTTAATGTGACAGTCAAAGCCTGTCATCTATTTTAGAGAAAAGGGAAGCAACAGACCTCCAAATACTTCAATATGGAAGTTGGGGGTTGGTTTTTAGAAGCATTTGGAGTCTTCAAAAGGTAGAGAAATGAATATGAGAAAGTTTACCTAAAGGAGATGATGATATCATGTGCCTAAGTTAAACCCAGATATTGATTTAGGAATTACTTTCCAGTGATGTGAGATTTTGTGAGTATATGAAAGTATACCAGATGACCACCAACTCATAAAAAGAGTTTGATATAATGATCCTATAACCCATCTTCTCATTTTAGCTTTGATAGTTCAGATATCACCATCTCACCCAACTTTCTAGGACAGTTTATGGTTTCTCTGAATTCTTTGGGGGTGGGGTTGAGATGGAATAATAGGCTAAACCAAGAAAACATATCAGTATCATTATTAATGTTAACTGATTTTACAATATTTAATGTATGTTATAAAATTAATCGAAAAGAGTGAGGAACTTTCTGCCTCACCATTACTAACCCAGTTTGGTTGGTCTCAGACAACAATAATACTGAAGACTGAATTCTGAAAGACCTAAACACTTTCAAAGACTTTCATAAGAAATATATACTTTAAAAGCTGCTATCAAAATACGCAATTTTGGAAAAGTTTTTTAACTCCTTTATGTTCAGGATTTCAAAATGATATGACCACTTATATGTCAAAAACATTATCCTTATTCTCAGCAAAAAAGGACAGTCATTTGCATATGTGTCATTTGGCTTTGATTTTCTGCAAGAACAATGGAGACAAGACTCTTCTGATTTTTCTCATTTTAAATGATTCTTCTTATTGATATTGCTTCCAAACAACTAGTCCAAAGTCTTTAGAAGATAATTTTTGTTTACTAGTTAATTAATGTAAATACCTATCTCAATATGATATTAAGTCAATATCCTGAGTAATAATATTCACATTATAGGGTTCACAGAAGGAGAAGAAAGAGGAAAAAGGTCAGGAAAATTATTTGGGTGAATAATGGTCAAAAAATCCCCTAATCTGGGGAAGGAAACAGAAAACCCACTGAGCACAGGAATCCCACCGAGTTCCAAATAAGAGGAACCCAAAGAGATTCACACCAAGACATATTTTATTAAAATGGTAGAAGTAAAAGAGAAAAATCTTCAAAACTAAGAAAAAGCAGCTTGCCACATTCCAGGAAAACCTGGTATGGCTATCAGCACATTTTCAACATAAACTTAGAGGCCATGGGAAAGTAGCAAGACAGGATCAAATTGCTAAAAAGAAAAAAAAAAACTACAACCAAGAATTCTTTACCCAGAAATGTTAGCATTCATAATTGGAGAGATTAAGAGTTTCCCAATTTTACCTTAAGCAAAAGCTACAGAAGTTCATCATCACTAAACCAGTCTTGTAAGAAATATTAAAAGGACTTCTTGAAACTGAAAAGATATGGCACAAGAAAACATGTGAAATAAAAAATCTCACTGGTGAAAAAGTACAAGTACAGTAAAAGTATTGAATCAAGCATTTATAAAGCCAGCTTAAAGATTAAAAGTAGTAAAATTAACTAAATGTACAATAATTACTCAAGGGATGCATATAATATGTAGATATAAAATGAGATATCAAAAATATAAAATGTAGGGGAAGAGTAAAAAAGTACAGTTTTAGAATGAGTTCATTGCTTAGAAAGCCCCAATCCAAAACAGAATGTTGTATATAAGATGTCCTAAGTGGGCCTCCCATGGTGGTGCAGCGGTTGAGTACTGGGCTGCAAAGCTGCCAGCAGCCTCTGCAGTGCCGGCTTGATCCCTGGCCACTGGCGAGGGTCCCACCCACATGGCACGACAGACCTCTCCTACTGCACCCGCTGCTCCTCTCAACAGTGTATTTTGTCAGTCTGCCTGTTCTGTTCCCCGCTCTGGCTCTGGTGAATTCTTTCACCCTCCTGTGCTTCTGACTGTACCCAGTGCTTGTATAAATAAATAAATAAATCTTTAAAAAAAAAAATAATAATATAGTGGTTATCAAAGGTGGATAGGAGTGGAGGAAATGGATGAAGGTTGTCAAAGGTTTCAAACATCCAGTCATAAGATAGATTCTGAGGATACAATACATAGAATGGTGCCTATAGTTATAATACTAGTCTATATTTGAAAGTTGCCAAGAAAATAGTTGTTTAATGTTCCCACAGGAAAAAATATATAACCATTCAAGGCAATGGATGTTAACTAAGCTTATCATGGTAATCATTTGCAATGTATACATGTATCAAATAACTGTGTTGTACACCTTACATTAATACAATATTATATTGCATTATAACTCAGAAAACTAGGGGGAATAAATTATCAAATGCAATACAATATATAACTGGATTTTAAAACTATTAAAAATTGCTCTCACTAAAATAAAATTTTAAAAGACAAATGATAATTATGATCACAAACCCTTCTGAGGAAAATATCACCTAACAAAATCAAAATTTTAATTTCTATCTCAATTAGGATGTTGTACAAAATTGATGATCAAGATAATCACAAAGGTTTTTCCAAAGCAAAATTATGAGTAGCATTATTATGATAATTTGAATATATAAATATAATGAATAGAGGACCATTAGAACGAGAAAATAGATGGTAAGAATGATTAGTTGCAAGTAGAAGAAGTAGATTTGAGCTTTGCCTACTGGCTTCATTAACGCTCCTTAGTTCATTCTTGGCTGACTTAACATTCTTCACCTGAAGGAAGGAAGTTTTGAACTTCTGTTTCATTATTATTACCACTACTATTACTACCAAACAAGTAATATTCCAATACTGTTTATGATTGTAATGAGATTGTGAAAATAACTGGAGCTTCCATGGGCTTTATAATAAATCATCGCAAGAATGGGCAAAAATAAACCGGTAAACTATTACGTGTTTGACGTTAATAAGCATTAAATAAACCCCAGTTAATTAAATAAACCCCATTTAATTAACTTACATTTGAGCAAATCTCCATGTGATCCACATCTCCAGAACTTGAACCAGGAGGTACAGAAGGGCTGAAGGCCATGAGGTCGGTCTTGGGCGGGCCCTCCCCGGAGCACACCCTCTGCCGCCGCTGCTGCGAGCACGACCAGCTCCCCACCGCGCTGGCGCACACCAGCGCCGGCTTCCCGGCCGCGCCCGCGCCCGCGCCCTCGCCCGGCGGCGCCGCGCAGCGCAGCGCCACGTACAGCAGCAGCGTCAGCACCAGCAGGCTGGACACGGCGCAGATGGCGACGATCAGGTACACGTTCACGTCCAGCAGCGCCGTCGGCGCGCCCGCCGCGCCCTCGGGCGCGCGCGACGACGCGCGGGGCGCCAGCCCGCTCTCCACCAGCGACAGCAGCACCGTGGCCGTGGCCGTGAGCGCCGGCTCGCCGTGGTCCTTCACCAGCACCAGCAGGCGCTGGCGCGGCGCGTCCGCCTCGTCCAGGGCGCGCGTCGTGCTGATCTCGCCCGTGTACAGCCCCACGCGGAACGGGCCGCGCGCGCCGCCCGCCGCCGCCGCCGCCGGCTGCAGCAGCTCGTACGACAGCCACGCGTTGTAGCCCGAGTCCGCGTCCACCGCGCGCACCTTGGCCACCACGTGGCCCGCGCCCAGCGAGCGCGGCACCAGCTCGCCCGCGCCGCCCGGCAGCAGCGCGGGCGCGTTGTCGTTCTCGTCCAGCACGAACACCTGCAGCGTCACGTTGCTGCCCAGAGGCGGCACGCCCGCGTCGCGCGCGCTCACCTGGAACTGCAGCAGCTCCAGCTCCTCGTGGTCCAGCGGCTGCAGCGCGAACACCCGGCCGCTCTCCGCGTGCACCGACACGTAGCTCGACAGCGCGCGCTCGCCCACCCGCCGCTCCACCAGCGAGTAGGACACCCGCGCGTTCTCCTGCGCGTCGGGGTCGCGCGCCGACAGCGTGCAGATGTGGCGGCCGGGCGCGTTGTTCTCCCTCACGAACACCGTGTGCTCGGGCTGCGCGAACGCGGGCGCGTTGTCGTTCACGTCGGCCACCTCCACCCACACGCTGGCCGTGGCCGACAGCGGAGGCGAGCCCCCGTCGCGCGCGGTCACCACCACCCCGTAGCTCGGCACGCTCTCGCGGTCCAGGGCGCTGTCCAGCACCAGCGAATAGTAGTTCTTGAAGGTGGACACCAGCTTGAAGGGGACATGGGTGATAGCGAGCAGATCACCTGCCCGTTGGCGCCAGAGTCGCGGTCGGACACGCTGATCAGGGCGATGACGGTGCCCAGTGGCGCGTCCTCTGCAACAGAGAGTGATGGTGACGTCACGTGCAATTCTGGAACATTGTCGTTGACGTCCAAGACTTCTACCAGGATCGTGCAGTGACCAAACATTGGAGGATTTCCTTTGTCAACTGCTTTGATTTGAAGCTTCCATAATTTAGTTTCTTCAAAATCTATTTTTCCATTTACCTTTATTTCTCCAGTGGCTGAATCTATGCGAAAAGAGGCTTCAGTATTAGGGGAGACATCCGTTGCAAAGGCATACAGAATGTGACTGTTTGAACCATCGTCCAAATCTGAGGCGTTCGGTCTAATAACCAGTGTGCCGTTTCTGGAATTTTCAAGTAATTTTACACGATAGACTGCTTTGTCAAACACTGGGGCGTTGTCATTTACATCCAGCACAGTGATGTGTAACTCCATGGTGCCTGTAAGCTCAGGTTTGCCTCCATCAGTTGCTCTGAGCACCATGAGAAGCTCCGAATCGACTTCCCTGTCTAAAGGTTTCCTTAGTATTAGTTCCAAAGGTTTTACCTGCTCATCATTGCTCGGTACTTCCAGAGAGAAATACTCATTGGGGCTCAGTCTGTAAGTCAGCACAGCATTAGCCCCGACATCTTCATCTGAGGCGCCCTCTAGTGAGAAATGAGAGCCAAGAGCCATTGTTTCAGAAATAAACAGAATTTTTTGTGTCGCGGGGAATACAGGCGCGTTGTCGTTAATGTCCCTCACCTCCACCTCCACGTGGAACACCTGCAGCGGCCTGTCCACGATCACCTCCAGGTGCAGGCTGCACTCCGCGCTCCGCCCGCACAGCTCCTCGCGGTCGATCCGAGAATTCACAAACAGAATGCCATTCTGCAGGTTTACCTCCAGAAGGTCCCCGCGGCCCTTGGACGCCAGGCGGAACAGGCGGGGCACCAGCTCGGCCAGCTCCAGCCCCAGGTCCTGGGCGATGCGGCCCACGAAGGTGCCGTGTTTGGCCTCCTCGGGGACCGAGTAGCGGACCTGGCCGCTGCCCGCCCCCCAGGCTACGAGGAGCAGAAGGGAGAGCAGCAGGCGCGGGGCTGCCTGGTCAGCTGGTCCTGAAACTAACATCGTGCGTGCCTCCTCTTTTCTGGTTAGTAAATCAACATTTCATGAGTTGAAAGGTGCAGTCCTTTTGAGTTCTTGGTCTTGAGTTTTCAGTTGAGTTTAACAAGGGATATGTTTACAGTCTTTAAAGCACCGGAACAGTGACTAGTGTCTTTGTGGTCCCGGTAATCTTAATTTTTTTCTGTTAAAACAATCCTCTCCTTGGAGAACAACGACATCCGGTGGCTCGAAGTGGAAGTGCGTTTGGCGTATATATTCTCATTTACATTGCTTCTTTCCTAAGTTTTGCACATTTGTCCATGTTTTTCTTTGTTGGCTTTTAATTCTTTCATTATATATTTATTCTTCCCGTTTGATCATTAACTCTATAAGGGTGCTATTATCTTAAAATTATAATTTCAAGAAGCGTCTGTTATGGGTATAGTCTTGTAAGAAATTTGTAATAGATTCTATCATCACATGAAAATTCCATATTTTAAGGTTACTAGTGGTAGACTTTTAGACTTTTATATCATTATGAAATTACCTCTTATAAAGTTTACTCCATTGCCAACACTCTATAATTTTCTATAGCTTAATCCTTCTACTATGTTGTTATTCTAAATATTTCGTGCAGCTGTGAAGAGTTAATAACCCGGGATACAAGTGTCTAAGTTACCACCTCCACATTGTTATGTTTCAAATCAATGCTAATATGCAAAATACTTATCAGTTTATCCAAAGATTTATTTGCTTTGATGTTTATGATATACCTATACCGACTTGTGGAAATAGAAAGTATATTTATTTCTTCTTGATTTTAAAGCTTTTTTCCCAATTACTTTATCTGCCCAGGGTGAATGTTGAAGTTTCCACTCTAAAGGTCAACTTAAATTGCCATTAAAGATAATGTTTCCCACTGAATCAAGACTTATATTTGTCTGTTTATACTAATTATAAACATCATATTTGTCCGTTTATACATACTTTATTCCAGAATTGGGTAAAGAGACTAGGGTATCCAAAATCTAATTCATCCACCCAATTTTATTTTTCTGTTTTATATCAAATATGAAATAACATATCAAAATTTTCCTAATTATCAATTGCAATAAAGTTCACCGGTATTGTCTGTAAAGAGAAAAAAAAAAGTTTCGATCATTCTGAAGACTATCAAGGAACCAATCAGTCAATATCTGAAATCTTTCCAGTAAGATGGCACCCTTAAGAAAAACTCAAATTTCTCTACTAAAAAAAGTTATAAATGGTTACCCAAGTGATTCTTAGATTTTGTGTAAAAGTGAGCTTCAATGTTCATTTTGAACACTTTTAAAATAGTGATTCCATTATCATAAATCTATCTCAAAAATTTATAGTTGTAGCTACTTCTCATTCTTTTTTTAAACCATAGAAGTAATAAATTCAAGAGGAAAGTAAGGGAAATTTAATCACATGGGTGTGACTAAATTCAGAAAGAGATGACTAAGAAATAAACCTCCTCCTGTGTACTGACTAAAATAATCCAGTCCCTTTGGTAATAATTCCATGCTGAAACACCACTCCACCTTTAGCTTAAAAGATTGTTTCATTAATTAAGAATATGAAAACTAGTTTTAAAGTCAAAAAATTCCAAGACTACCCTAAGTTAATAAGTATAGTATACCAATAAAGTTAAGGTTGATTATTCATTTTCCAATAGGTTATCCGAATAACTATGTCATTGAGCGAAAGAGTACTCATGATTGGTGAGTTTTAATGAAGGGCATGTAATAAAGAGCATAACATGTATGTATAACATGATTATAAAAATAAGATGTCATCATTTTAAAAGAATTAGACTATTTTTGGGGCAAGAATGTTAAAGGCAATCTTTGATTTGAGAAAATTTCTGACTTCACATCTCTGAATTAAATGGAAAAAACTCTCTAAAATAATTGAAATGCATATTTGCCTTAATAATGGAGCCAGAGGAAAACACTGACAGGCTGACATCATAAAATTTGTCTTTTATAGCCTTCAACTTCTCATTGTAAACTCTCCCCTAATTTCCCCTTCCGGCACTTCCTCCTTTATAGATTTTAAGGTTATTGGGCTCTTGGAGAAAATTCCACCTTATTATGTTAATATCTTTGTGAATGTTTCTATATTTAAAGGAAACACGTCCAAAAGAAGGCAAAATAAAATAAATACTACTATATTAGTAAACACACAATTCCATTTCACTAATAGCACAAATGAAGACAGATCATCAGACAAGTCTTTTCTGCAAAGGGGCACACTGATATTACAAAGGATTGAAAGGAGGGTGGGGTATAAGAGGGGGAAATTCTATATGAAATAAAGCTAAGAATGAAGGATGTTGATAGGTCTGAAATTTATAATTATGTAAGTTCAGAGAATACTCAAATCCAAAAATAAATAAAAGGCATAATCCTCAGTTTAGTAATGAGAAATCACCACCTGTACTAAGGGAGGAAATATATATATATATATATATATATATATATATATAATATACACATTTTTTAAAAGATTTATTTATTTATTTATTTATACAAGCACTGGGTACAGTCAGAAGAGCAGGAGGGTGGGAGAATTCACCAGAGCCAGAGCAGGGAGCAGAACAGGCAGAATGACAAAGTCCACTGCTGAGGGGAGCAGCGGGTGGCAGGAGAGGTCTGCCGTGCCATGTGGGACCCTTGCCGGTGGCCAGGGATCAAACTGGTGCTGCAGAGGCTGTGGGCAGCTTTGCTCAACTGCTGCGCCACTGGGGAGGTCCAAGAGCTATATATTTATATAAAATAAGTTTTTAACTGTATCTACTTTGGTTGCACACCCTATAGACATATTGCCCTGAGTTTAATCAGAAGCTACCTTGTAAAAAAAAACTTTTAAAACCTACTGCAGCAAAAAAGTCATAAAATCGAAAGTATAAACACCATAACTCAGTACATTTATTTATATTCATAAAAGAAACAACAGATTATAAAGGCAACAATCCTTTAAAAGTTATAAAAGAATTATAAATAGATCCACAAACTTGTGGATTCTCTCTTTGGAAGTTTGGGAGCCCAACTAGGATCATCTTATATTGGAGGACAGTTGTCCCTTAGATCTGTACTGCAAAATATACAATTATATGAATTGAAAACAAAGTTAATACCAATCAAAGCATGGACTTTATGAACAGATAAATGCACCTATAGAAATATGACTTTTATAATTCATATGAAATCTTGATAAGGGAGAAGAAAGAATTTTACAGGAGATATCTGAATGTTTATTTCATAAAGTTGTTTGATACAACAATGAATACATTATTTTACTCTGCATTAACTTATCTTCTATAACCTCTAAGAGTTGGAGACTGGCCATGGAAAGTATTGACATTGAAGGCATGAAATGTACTGAGTTGTGGTATATATTTTTGGTTTTATGACTTTTTATTATTATTTTTTTTATGGGACCCTCCCCGGTGGCCAGGGATTGAACTGGCACTGCAGAGGCTGCAGGGCAGCTGCGCAACCCAGCGCTCAACAGCTGGGCCACTAGGGGAGGCCCAGTTTTATGACTTTTTAAATTCCTGCCACAATTGTCTTTCTTGGCATTTTGAAATTGGAATAGAGATTTCAAGTTTTACCAGAAACTATTTATGAAGCATGTATAAGAAAAAATTAAATCTACATATGAAAAAGGAATGTAATTAAGTTACTAAAAGCCAGTCAAAGTGATAAATTAGTTGCATTGCCATTTGGTCGTACTCAAATAAAATTAACAAGCAAAATGCAATCTTGTCTTGCATTTTGGAGAATATGTCATCCATGTAACCTGTTTAAGATGACTAGAAAAGCTATTAAACTAAATTGCACTTATGTAAGTACAGTAGAAAATATTCTAAGAACATAATTCCATTTTCTTCAAGGTTCTAATAAGAAGTGTGATTAAAGAAGTTCTTCTATCACTTTAAAATTAAAGCTGATTTTCAAATGCCTTGCGTTATTAAACATAATCAGAAGTCCTCCTTCAAATGGAAGAGCTAATGGTAGAATATCAAGAGCAATGCCTTTTACCTAGAAGAGACTCGATAATGAGGAACTGTTAAGTAAATTATGAAAATAATCGTGCACTATTTCTTCTGCTAAGAAAAATGAATCACACACGGGCACAGGTCCCACCATTGCCAAAAAACTAAAAAAAAAAAAACCTTAAAAGTTGAAAACAGGGCCTCCCCTGGTGGCGCAGCGGTTGAGCGCTGGGTTGTGAGGCTGCCTGCAGCCTCTGCAGCGCAGGTTTGATCCCCTGCCACCGGGGAGGGCCCCACAAAAAAAACCAAAAATTTGAAAACATTTCATGTAAATGCGTTATTTAGAGAAGTTTTATGAAAAAACTCGCAGGCTATATCCTGTACTATAAAGACCAATGAGTGAATACTGCGTATTGAAGATTTAGTATCACACATGTTCTGCTGCGCTACACAGTCTGTAGTTAGAGAGTAGAGAGTAAAAGACACATTTTCACCATGAAGAATACTGACCAGAGCACTTTTTGTTACTGTATTAAGGGTCACTTCAACATTTAGATATAAATGTGTAATAAAGTTATAAATTAAGGTAATAATCTTGCAAATAATTGTAACAAAAGAAAGTAGTTTATGAGAGTAAAACTATCAAAACTTGCAGGCTACCATAAATATTTGTATTAGAAAATATAAATAAATTCAGAATACAGGGTGTTTTAAAAATTGAAATATCAAGAAATGATTGGCGGCCCCTCCCTGGTGGTGCAAGGGGTTAAGACGCAACCTATGAAGCAATCAGCAGCTCTGCAGCATAAGTTCAATTCCTGGCCAGCCAGAGAGTAACCCACATGGTGCAGCAGACCTCTCCTGACTCGCCCGCTGCTCCCTTCAGCATTGTACTTCGGTCAATCTGCCTGTTCTATTCCCCACTCTGTCTCTGGTGAATCCTCTCACCCCCAACAACTCTGGCCTGTACCCCAGCTCCTGTATGCATAAATAAATAAATGTTTAAAAAAATGATTGGCGGACGGGAAGAATAAACAAATAAAATTAAACGTATTAAAATAGCTATATTAGATAGGGGTTGCTAAAATACTAAAGTATAAAAACAAACTATACAGGCAAACGATGAAAATATTCCGAAAATGGATTTGAGAGGGGGAAGCGGTTAATTAAATATCATTCACAGCGCCATAAATGAGAATAAAAGTATTAACACACCTTCCTGTACTGGTCTCCTCCAACGGATTGTTGTTCCACTTCCATATCTGGAACTGAACTCGGAGGAAGGCTGGGGCTGAAGGCCATGAGGTCGGTCTTGGGCGGGCCCTCCCCGGAGCACACCCTCTGCCGCCGCTGCTGCGAGCACGACCAGCTCCCCACCGCGCTGGCGCACACCAGCGCCGGCTTCCCGGCCGCGCCCGCGCCCGCGCCCTCGCCCGGCGGCGCCGCGCAGCGCAGCGCCACGTACAGCAGCAGCGTCAGCACCAGCAGGCTGGACACGGCGCAGATGGCGACGATCAGGTACACGTTCACGTCCAGCAGCGCCGTCGGCGCGCCCGCCGCGCCCTCGGGCGCGCGCGACGACGCGCGGGGCGCCAGCCCGCTCTCCACCAGCGACAGCAGCACCGTGGCCGTGGCCGTGAGCGCCGGCTCGCCGTGGTCCTTCACCAGCACCAGCAGGCGCTGGCGCGGCGCGTCCGCCTCGTCCAGGGCGCGCGTCGTGCTGATCTCGCCCGTGTACAGCCCCACGCGGAACGGGCCGCGCGCGCCGCCCGCCGCCGCCGCCGCCGCCGGCTGCAGCAGCTCGTACGACAGCCACGCGTTGTAGCCCGAGTCCGCGTCCACCGCGCGCACCTTGGCCACCACGTGGCCCGCGCCCAGCGAGCGCGGCACCAGCTCGCCCGCGCCGCCCGGCAGCAGCGCGGGCGCGTTGTCGTTCTCGTCCAGCACGAACACCTGCAGCGTCACGTTGCTGCCCAGAGGCGGCACGCCCGCGTCGCGCGCGCTCACCTGGAACTGCAGCAGCTCCAGCTCCTCGTGGTCCAGCGGCTGCAGCGCGAACACCCGGCCGCTCTCCGCGTGCACCGACACGTAGCTCGACAGCGCGCGCTCGCCCACCCGCCGCTCCACCAGCGAGTAGGACACCCGCGCGTTCTCCTGCGCGTCGGGGTCGCGCGCCGACAGCGTGCAGATGTGGCGGCCGGGCGCGTTGTTCTCCCTCACGAACACCGTGTGCTCGGGCTGCGCGAACGCGGGCGCGTTGTCGTTCACGTCGGCCACCTCCACCCACACGCTGGCCGTGGCCGACAGCGGAGGCGAGCCCCCGTCGCGCGCGGTCACCACCACCCCGTAGCTCGGCACGCTCTCGCGGTCCAGGGCGCTGTCCAGCACCAGCGAATAGTAGTTCTTGAAGGTGGACACCAGCCTGAAGGGGACATGGGGTGATAGCGAGCAGGTCACCTGCCCGTTGGCGCCAGAGTCGCGGTCGGACACGCTGATCAGGGCGATGACGGTGCCCACCTGAGCATCCTCGGGCACTGGGAGAGCCAAAGAAGTGACAAACACCTGCGGTGAATTATCATTTTCATCAAGGATTTCCACTAAGACGGTGCAGTGACCGACCATAGGTGGGCTTCCTTTATCTGTAACATCTACACGAATTTCGTAGGTGTTACTATCCTCAAAGTCAATAAGGTCATTTACTGTTATTTCTCCTGTCGTGTTATCCATCAGGAATTTCCTCCTTACGCTGGGTGCAACTAAAGAACTAAATGAATATATCATTTCCTTGTTTGTTCCTTCATCCGCATCAGAAGCGTTTAGCCATATTACTAACGTTTGGTTCGCTGAGTTTTCACGTACCTTGACTTCATAAACGGATCGGTCAAATACAGGCGCATTGTCGTTGGCATCCAACACCACAACCAGCAGAGTAACGGATCCGGTAAGTTCGGGTTTGCCTCCATCAGTTGCTGTTAATAACAACTGAAATTGAGGATTTTCTTCACGATCCAGCAGTTTGCGTAGAACAAGCACTGGAAATTTGCCTTTGTCTTTTTTGTTTATAGTATCAAGAATGAAAAACTCATTTGGACTAAGTCTGTAAGCAAGCATTGCGTTCTCGCCGACATCCGCGTCAGCAGCGCCCTCTAGTGGAAATCTAGAATCAAGCAGTCGAGATTCTGGTATGGAGAGCTTTTGCTCTGAGACGGAGAAGACCGGCGCGTTGTCGTTAATGTCCCTCACCTCCACCTCCACGTGGAACACCTGCAGCGGCCTGTCCACGATCACCTCCAGGTGCAGGCTGCACTCCGCGCTCCGCCCGCACAGCTCCTCGCGGTCGATCCGAGAATTCACAAACAGAATGCCATTCTGCAGGTTTACCTCCAGAAGGTCCCCGCGGCCCTTGGACGCCAGGCGGAACAGGCGGGGCACCAGCTCGGCCAGCTCCAGCCCCAGGTCCTGGGCGATGCGGCCCACGAAGGTGCCGTGTTTGGCCTCCTCGGGGACCGAGTAGCGGACCTGGCCGCTCCCAGCCTCCCAGACTGGGAGGAGCAGAAGGGAGAGCAGCAGGCACCAGGCGCTGTGGTCGCTGGGTCTGTAGATGAACATCCCTCCTTTCTCCTCTTTTACAAATTGATGGATCAGCGGTCTAGAAGACGCACACTCCCCAGATTTTCCTATTCCATTTCTTGCATCCAGTTTTATCGAAATGGCTGAGATCTTACACTGTACCTCTCTCCTAGTCCTTGAGAAACAAGGGATTTGTTGTTCTGAAACGCTATTTTGTGGAAGACAGCGACATTCGGTGGCTGAATTTGTAAGTACTACTCCATTCATTTAACTTTCTTTTAATTCTATTTTTATGTACTTGCAACTTTGTGGGCTTTCAAAGCGTTTTTGTCTCTTTTGTACATACTAATAACCTGTGTTGATCCTTACTGAAGCATCTTGTTGAATGTAGATTCTCAGAGAAGTAATTCCTTCCATAATTATCAGTATTTTTTTAAAATACTGAGGGTACCAATATTTAGTTGGTTGATGAATTTAAGTCTCTTCAAGTTCTGATACCTAATTCACTTCTATGTGTCATTCTTTTGAGTTTAAATAAACCTAACCGGAACCATCAATTCTCTGAAGTGTTTGCAAGAGGTAAATTCAGTTTTTGCTAGATTGTAGAGAAAGGATCACCCACTTCAACACAAGAACTTTCTCCATTCTGATTTCTAGTCTCCAACTAACATTTGTGTGACTTGGGTAAAATAAATTAACCTTTCCTCTGTCTCAGTTTTCACTTTTGTAACTTTGACATAATAATAATATGGCTGTTGTGTGAATTATGATATAGTAAGTGCCTAGCACATTACCTTAAGGAGAGTCGGTGCTTCCTAAATGGTAATTATTCTCAGGTGTGAGTTTACCTGCATGTATTTTCATAATGCTTAGGACCAAAATTGGCTCCTTGGGATGAATTATTACATAAAGGATACATGTTGTCATTCGACAAAGTCCTTATCAATGCTCAGTGGACTAAGTGATATGCCTACCCTTAAGAACACAGAAAATTTTTAAATTGAGAAAACAGGCATATAGGCAGAATTTTCACTATCTGATATGCATCTTAGATGGACAAAAGAACCTTAAACATGATCCTAAATAAAATGAGTAACAGATTTATGATTTCCACTTTCAGAGACAACTGCTTCTATCTTTGTTATATTTAAGTTTTTCAAATTCCCAAAACATACAGTTCTGGAATTACAGTTTTATCTTTGCTAACAAAGTTTTTCATCAAAATCTACAGTAAAAAATCTTTTCCTCAAAGTTCTTGGAAAAAAATATTCAGTAACTGAAATTCCCCATTAATATATCTCCAAGTTCTGAAAAACATGAAGCTTCTCTTTTTTCAAAAAAAAAAGGATAACTTAATAAATAGGGCCTTTCAGGCCTCCCTGGTGGTGCAATGGGTTAAACATAGCACTATGAAGCAATCTGCAGCCTCTGCAGCATGAGTTTGATCCCCAGCTGGCCAGGGAGCTACCCACAGCAGACTTCTTCTGCTGACTGCTCCCTTCAGCAGTGCATTTCTTTTGGGGGGGTGGGAAAGGAACACCCTATGAGAAAACCAATAGCTCAGGGTGTTGCTCCTGATAAATCCAGCACATTGCAGAAAAGTTTCAGACCCAGATGTTTTAACTCAGAATGATTCTGTTGATTTTTGACATGCCTGCTGATAAATATTGGAAATTGGGCCTTATTTTCATCCTTTGAATAGTGTCTTATTTTGAAATAACTAATATTAGCATTCCAATGAGGAACACTTTACAGGATTATGGAACTGATTTCAATGAAATTCTCAGCAGTGTATTTCATTCATTCTGCCTGTTCTGTTCCCCACCCTGTCTCTGGTGGATCCTCTCACCCCCCACACCTGTGGCCTGCACCCTAGCTCTTGTATGCATAAATAAATAAATAAATAAATAAAGCCTTTCATCATATTCAAAACTTGATTTTTTTATCTTAATGTTATAATTTATAAAAGAGCTATTTAAAAGATATTTAATATTTTTGAACTGTTAGTTCCTATTCGGAGTTTAAAGCAGTGCAAGAATATTTATGAATAAGAAAACTGACAGGAATGAGGATAACTCAATTCATTGACTCCATGTTCTCAGAAGTTGTTTCCTACTTCCCTACTCCTTTGGAATGACTCTAGTAACAAAGTCCATTCAATTCTGATTTTAAGAGTAATTTCTTTTAAAGCATAAATTAAAACGTAAGTTATCTATCCACCTAGAGTATAAATGTTCAGTTACAGCTAATATCTGGACACTAAAATAAGTTATCTTTTATTGATTGATTACCTCAAATAAGGTAATGACATAAACTAAGCTCCATTCTAGTTAATGTACACTGTAGGCCAGCTAATAAATGTCCTAATATGAATCTCCAATAATGATAAAAAATAGAGTAGTTAAATAATATCCCACCAAATAGCAGAAACTTGCTTTGCCAAACATCTCATAGGGCTATGGATCCAAAAGTTCAATTGGGAAAATATAACTATTCAAATAAAAACTTAATTCTGAAAAAAAAAAAAAAACTTCAGGTGGGGGCCTCCCCAGTGGTGCAGTGGTTGAGCTCTGGGTTGGGAAGCTGCCCGTGGCCTCTGCAGTGCCGGTTCGATCCCCGGCTGCTCCCCAGCCACCGGAGGAGGGTCCCACATGACCTGCAGACCTCTCCTGCCGCCCGCTGCTCCCCTCTGCAGTGTACTTGGGTCCTTCTGCCTGCTCTGCTCCCCGCTCTGGCTCTGATGAATTCTCTCACCCTCCCGCACTTCTGACTATACCCAGTGCTTGTATAATTAAATAAATAAATCTTAAAAAAAAAAAACAACTTCAGGTGGATAAGAATCAGCTGGAGTGTTTGTTATAATACAAAATTCTAGTACTAATTTCAGAAAATCTGAGGTGGCATCTGGGAGCCAGAATGTTCTATAGAACTCCAGGTGGTAGCAGTGTCAGATCTAAGGGTGTGGTTAACATGGGCCCCAATTGGCTTGGGACACACTCCATTTACATCTCTGGTCTTGTGTATTTATTTGTTGTGCCCCTCCCACTTTCAAAAGTTCGGGCCATAATTTAGTTAGCCCTGTTTAGTTACTACAATTCAAGGCCTAACATAGGGGAGCTTCATTATTGGTTTCATGATTCTGACTTGAATTGAGGGACATTACCTTTAGAAGCAGAGAGGGAGAGCTACTAGACCAACTATCTAGGTGTTGTTTTCCTGCTCTCACATCTCTGTTTGAACTGTGAATAAAGAACTAAATTACCAATTTTATCAATATAGCCATCAGTAACAAAGAATACAATTAACAATTATAGAAGACATAGTGTGTACTTATAATTAACAATAAGAGACTAGAAGAGTGATGGACATTGGAGGTTTCTAGCACCCTTATCCATATACACAAGCAAAGTTCAACTGACATATGGAATCTGAAAAAAGCGCAGGGACAAATATCTGGATTTAAGTGAGTTATGCTGACAGATAGATTTGACCACTGACAACACTCAATACTCAGAATTTGAAAGAAAATTTGCAAAGAAATGGGTTGTTTTTGCATGTGCCAAACGTGTTCAACAGGAAAAAGGAAAAAAATATATTGAAAGTTTTTAGTTTATTTGAATTTTCATGGTTATATTTGGGCCCTATTCTCAAACAACTCTGATTCTCCTCTACTGCGTGTTTTTCATTTGTTTGTTTGTTTGTTTTGATTATTAAGAAATACCTTGTAAGATGCCTAACTAACCAAAAAAGAAAAGTAGCTGAATAGAAATATAAATCACATAACAAAATTCAAGAGTACACAGGAGTTTTTAAAATATAAAAATAGAAGAGGGCTTCCCCGGTGGCGCAGCGGTTGAGCGCGGGGTTGCGAAGCTGCCCGCAGCCTCTGCAGTGCCGGTTCGATCCCCGGCTGCTCCCCGGCCACCAGAGGAGGGTCCCACATGGCGCGCAGACCTCTCCTGCCGCCTGCTGCTCCCCTCAGCAGTGTACTTCGGTCCTTCTGCCTGTTCTGCATCCTGCTCTGGCTCTGGTGAATTCTCTCAGCCTCCCGCGCTTCTGACTGTACCCAGTGCTTGTATGAATAAATAAATAAATAAATAAATAAATCTTAAAAAAAAAAACATTTAAAAAAAAAATAGAAGAGAAAATGAAAGCTTGAACTAAAGATAGAGTATGAAGAACCACCAATTTATAAGTCCACTAACCACAATTTAAAAAAAAAACGTTTTAACAGGTAGTGACTTTAAAGATGAACTTAAAAGATTTCATCTCCAGTATCTATCTTTTGGACTGTTGAGCATATAATAAAATCCTCAACTAAACTGGCACAGGTCAAAATTTTAAGTTCCAGACTATGAATTTCAAGGGAATTCAACATGTAGAATGGAGGTACCTCTCTAAAGCCTAAGCATTACATCTCTAGCAGAAATTATCATTAAAAAGGAAAAGGTCCTCTTCCCTCCCCAAGGGAAAAAAAAAGGAAAATGTCTTCTTGAAGAAAGAAAGTACCTGTCAGAAAGTATTTTTTGTCCAGATCGGATGACATATGAATTTCAAGAAATTTTCTAAGTGTAGGAAAATTTGCGAATCTACATTTTCTTTTCTCCATATTGTCAGATATTAACATATCTTATATATGTTTGAACAAGAGCTATATTTAGAACAATTATTTTAGAATTGGATTCCTAAAGTGAAGTAACTATTTTGTAGGGCATAGTGGAAGCAGACTGAATTTATAGACACTAGGTAGTGCTGATCAAACATGTTCATAAACAGTCTCATTTAGAAAGAGAGAGTGGTAGAAAACTACAAAATCAACTACAAAGGAAAAGTTATAAATTTCTCCTGCAGGGCTTCTTACAAACACAGGTTAAGAAAAAGGCACCGCAAGTACTTCGAAATAAATGAGTGATGTTGCCTTTACTTAATGTATAAGAAATAACTGGTTTCCACTTACTAACCTATGTGTACAGAAGCAGTTCTATTTTAAACTACTACAGTATTTAAAGCACTGCTTTAAAAAGTCAATAGACTCCCACAACAAATTTCAAATAAGTGATTCAGCATCCCATGAGCATTGTTCAATGTATGGTTTATAATGATTCTCAAAAGAAGTGTTACAAAAAGTTAAGTACTAGGAAGACGAAGTGTTTATTTCTGGAAATAAAGAAGATTCTACCAAATTCCTACAGTAAAGGGAAAATTATTTAAACGTACCGTTTCTGGTAATACATTTCTTTTTCAAGACTAAATAATAAATATGTGGATAAATAAAAGGCTAAAACCACCAACCTTCCCAGAGGAGTCCAAAGAAGCTTGAGGAACTTCCATTGCACCTGTAGATCCAGGACACGGAGGAAGGCTGGGGCTGAAGGCCATGAGGTCGGTCTTGGGCGGGCCCTCCCCGGAGCACACCCTCTGCCGCCGCTGCTGCGAGCACGACCAGCTCCCCACCGCGCTGGCGCACACCAGCGCCGGCTTCCCGGCCGCGCCCGCGCCCGCGCCGCGCCCTCGCCCGGCGGCGCCGCGCAGCGCAGCGCCACGTACAGCAGCAGCGTCAGCACCAGCAGGCTGGACACGGCGCAGATGGCGACGATCAGGTACACGTTCACGTCCAGCAGCGCCGTCGGCGCGCCCGCCGCGCCCTCGGGCGCGCGCGACGACGCGCGGGGCGCCAGCCCGCTCTCCACCAGCGACAGCAGCACCGTGGCCGTGGCCGTGAGCGCCGGCTCGCCGTGGTCCTTCACCAGCACCAGCAGGCGCTGGCGCGGCGCGTCCGCCTCGTCCAGGGCGCGCGTCGTGCTGATCTCGCCCGTGTACAGCCCCACGCGGAACGGGCCGCGCGCGCCGCCCGCCGCCGCCGCCGCCGGCTGCAGCAGCTCGTACGACAGCCACGCGTTGTAGCCCGAGTCCGCGTCCACCGCGCGCACCTTGGCCACCACGTGGCCCGCGCCCAGCGAGCGCGGCACCAGCTCGCCCGCGCCGCCCGGCAGCAGCGCGGGCGCGTTGTCGTTCTCGTCCAGCACGAACACCTGCAGCGTCACGTTGCTGCCCAGAGGCGGCACGCCCGCGTCGCGCGCGCTCACCTGGAACTGCAGCAGCTCCAGCTCCTCGTGGTCCAGCGGCTGCAGCGCGAACACCCGGCCGCTCTCCGCGTGCACCGACACGTAGCTCGACAGCGCGCGCTCGCCCACCCGCCGCTCCACCAGCGAGTAGGACACCCGCGCGTTCTCCTGCGCGTCGGGGTCGCGCGCCGACAGCGTGCAGATGTGGCGGCCGGGCGCGTTGTTCTCCCTCACGAACACCGTGTGCTCGGGCTGCGCGAACGCGGGCGCGTTGTCGTTCACGTCGGCCACCTCCACCCACACGCTGGCCGTGGCCGACAGCGGAGGCGAGCCCCCGTCGCGCGCGGTCACCACCACCCCGTAGCTCGGCACGCTCTCGCGGTCCAGGGCGCTGTCCAGCACTAGTGAATAGTAGTTCTTGAAGGTGGACACCAGCTTGAAGGGGACACTGGGTGTCAGGCTGCAGGTCACCTGCCCGTTGACACCAGAGTCGCTGTCGGACACGCTGATCAGGGCAATGACAGTGCCGAACGGGGCGTCCTCTCGGACAGGCAAGGATAAGGAAGTCAATGCAACATGCGGGACGTTATCATTCTTATCCAAAACTTTCACTAGCACCGTACAATGACCTACCATCGGAGGGTGGCCTCTGTCCATCGCATCAATACGGATCTTGTATAAATTCGTATTTTCAAAATCTAAATTCCCTCGAGTTACTATTTCCCCAGTGTTTGTATCTACTCTAAACTGGTCAGTAATCACGGGTGGCACAAGGCTATTGAAAGAATATGAAATCTCTCCATTGGCTCCTTCATCGCGATCAGAAGCATTCAGCCTGATAACTGTCGTTCCGTTTTCTGAGTTTTCGAATATTTTTACTTCGTATTCAGATTGTTCAAAGGTGGGCGCATTGTCGTTCACGTCCAGCACAGTGACCAGCAGCTGCACAGTGCCAGTGAGCTCGGGTTTACCTTGGTCAGTCGCTGTCAGGAACAAGTTATGGTCGGGAGCTTCCTCTCTGTCCAAAGATTTCCTTAACACAAGCTCAACTTGTTTATTCTCCTCATTTTTTGAATTTACATCCAGCATGAAGTATTCACTATCACTAAGCTTGTAGGTTAATAAGGAGTTAACTCCGACATCTGCATCCCAAGCACCCTCTAGTGGAAAACGAGAATGCGTCATTCTGGATTCTGAAATGAATAGTTTTTGTTCCTTTTCTAGGAACACAGGCGGGTTGTCGTTAATGTCCCTCACCTCCACCTCCACGTGGAACACCTGCAGCGGCCTGTCCACGATCACCTCCAGGTGCAGGCTGCACTCCGCGCTCCGCCCGCACAGCTCCTCGCGGTCGATCCGAGAATTCACAAACAGAATGCCATTCTGCAGGTTTACCTCCAGAAGGTCCCCGCGGCCCTTGGACGCCAGGCGGAACAGGCGGGGCACCAGCTCGGCCAGCTCCAGCCCCAGGTCCTGGGCGATGCGGCCCACGAAGGTGCCGTGTTTGGCCTCCTCGGGGACCGAGTAGCGGACCTGGCCGCTCCCAGCCTCCCAGACTGGGATGAGCAGAAGGGAGAGCAGCAGACACCGGCATCCCGGGTCTCCTTGCCAAGAAAACACCATATCAAATCCTCTTTTTAAAGTTACCCGAAGAGCTTCTTTGATATACAGAAGAACCACGGCATTGCTTGTGCTCTAATCCATTTCCGTTGCATCCTCCATTGTTGGGCATTCAGAGACTGAAAACGCTAGAGGTACGCCTCCCGGAGCTCGTCTATACAGAACTTCTTGGCGGACAGCGACATCATGCGGCTCCAATGGGTAATAGTTACAAAAATTCACTTACCTCCATGATAATAGGGGTCTTTTAATCCTCTAATTTCCTTTCTTTATTACCTAATGGTGATACTTTCCCTTTAACAGTTGCGCATGCATTTATAGCGTCTGCCTTCTTACTAATTTCGTTTCAGTTAGATAGCTTTTTCTTTGTAAGGAAGAAATTTCTTCCCATTAATTAAAATACTGAGAAATGTTGTAAGATCCAGACATGTCACACATTTCAGAAGTAGAAAGTTGTTCCATACTTCTGTGTAGAAGAAATATGTTATACTCTTGTGGTCACTCAAAATGTTTATATATAGTATTCTGGGCTGAGGAATAATTCTAAATTTTATATATTTTGATTTTTTATGGATAATCATTGTTATGCTTTTCTTTGTTTAATGAATGCCAAATATCCTAAACTTTTTCTACTAGTGCAAGAAAATTTTTATATGAATTGTTTGTAATTCTTAATATCATGGAAGACTGTTAAAATAGACATGGCCGATAAAACATTTCCCTAAAAATTTCTCTGCCACAGCAAGCCTTAGTATTGTTTTAACATTGGTCTTTTCTGTTGGCTTTTCATCTTTTTGGTTTCTCTATAATATGGACAATTTCTGAACTTATGCCTTTAGCCTTATTTTAAAAATCTTTCTCTTTTATGTATTTCTTTCTATATACCTTCAAACAAGTCTATTGTTTGAAGTATTCCTAAATTCAAATCTCCAACACCTATTCGATTTTCTAGTGGTCATATTTACATGTACACCGTGATATTGCTTAGAAAACAAGGTAAGTAAAATTTTATTTTAAAAGGCCTAATCAGTAATTAGCCAAAATGCAAATATATGAAAATTGCATTTTGTTTTTACAGCATGATCTTCTCCAAATTTACTTATGTTATGACTCCTTTTCCTTTGCTCTATTTAAAGTTTGCTACAGCCACTTCTCTTTGTACTTGCATGTCATAAAATGCCTTTACTAATACAACTTCCATAGCATTGCACTAAAATCTCCAGTGAGTTTACCTTCTACTGAATGAAGTGCCAAGACAATAGACTCACAATCAGAAACAGACAGTATGAGATCATAAACCAGCCTTTCAGTGTTTCCTCCATTTTCCAATGATCATGTTTTCCTCAACAAGCTCTTTGTTCAATTGGTTTCTTCTCCCCATATTTATCTCTCAAAATACAATTAACCCCTCAAAGAGTGCCTCAAAATTTTTTTCTCTATGCGTTTATCAGAAATAGCTCAATAGTTGGTGATTAAGCCCCCTTTGAATGGCTATAGTGGCAATTGTGAAGGGGGAAAGCTTTTCAAGGAACATGTGACCGTCCTTCTCACTCACCCAAGATTCTGGCATACTTGAAATTTTGTAGAAATTTCACAGGTGATAATGATTTTTTAAAAATTTATTTAATGATATGTCTTAATATATTTAATTGGAATCTCTCTAGAGGCACTAATCATTGCCCTTCCAGTTATTTTGGAACAATTGATTCTTACACTCATAGACTTCAGAAACGTCTTCATGAAAGATATGTAAACCAGCACCCTATGCACTGATGGTTTTCTTGGGTGTTTAGAGTTTTCAAAAACTTACTGTAATTGAAGTTACAATTTTTAAAATTAAAGTAAGCCATTACTATGGGCTTTACTCAAGTTCCTAGAAACCCAGATGTATGAGAATATGAATAACATCACCACAGTAAAATTTTCACTAGCTACAACTAAGAAAAAACAAATATGTTGCAGATTCTTACAGAAAAGCAAGCAATAAGAAGAGGTATTTTCTGTAAAACAACTTCCACTTGTGCTCCAAATTTACTCAGTCCAGTTCTGTAGTTTATTCTAAATAATGAGAATAATTGTGTAAAGAAAAGAGCATCACTCCTTAGCTCTAGAACTTTTACCAAAAATGTTCTCTAACCATGATATAAATAAGAGTATGATTTTTAAAAAATTATTTACCTGTTTTAAAAGTAGTGATAATTGATGAATAAAGATTAAAGTACTGAATCCCTTCTCAAGTTGTAGTCCTTCAAAAAATTAAATAGATAACAAGGCCTCCCTGGTGACCTAGAGGTTAAGTCTTAGTGCTATCACCATCCAGCCTGGGTTTCATCCCTCTCCAGGGACCTAACCCACATATGGCTCAGCAGACCTCTCCTGTCACACCCACTGCTCCTCTCAGCAGTGTATTTCAGTAGATCTGCCTATTCTGCTCCCCACTATCTCTGGTGAATTCTCTCACACCACTCCTACCCTGCATGTCTGGCCTACACCTCAACATCTCTGCACCAAAAAAAAAGAAAGAAAGAATTAATATTAAAATTTCTTAACAAGGGATGAAAAAGTGATTTTAAAATATATGTATGTGAGAGTAAAAGAAAAATAGGTGGAACAATAAAAAGAGGATTAACACTTTGCAACATCAAAAGCTAAAATAGTCATATTTTCCTACAAAATTCAATATTCTTTCAAGGAGAACAATAAATTATGATGGCTACAAATTTACTGGACAATGGTAAGAAATTCTATTGAATATGGAACAATTTTTTTAGTTTTCATACCTATACCATTACTTGAAAGTACATTGAAAACAGCAGGCACATGTCCTAATTTAACTTCCCACAGCAAGCTAAAAATTCACTAGTTGTGAGAGCTGACAATTTCTAACTATCAAATTTTTGGGTTTTTGTAAATTAAATAACTTAGCTTAGTATAATTTAGTTATTGACCTAGTGAAGTTAAAACAACTAGATGAATAAATCATAACTATAAATAAATCCATACAGGAAATCAAGATGCAGCTATGAAAATATAAGAAAACCCAAAAACACTAATAAATCTTTTAGGAAATAATATGGTATGAAAACCAATATGTAACTTAAAATGGAAATACGCAGAGTGCAGAAGACTACTTTCAGGGCAATCATTTGCTTTTTCAGAAAGGTCTCATACATACACATAAAATCTGGAGGAAGCTAAAGAAATTGAACATGCTTCAGGAATTCAAAAGGTTTTAAATGAATAGTTAGGGTTGAAGGTGAGAGTGAAACTTTTCTATATATACTATATTTAACTCCTTGAATTTTTAAATGTGAATATATATGAGTACACAAGCAAGGAACATAATTAAAATACTACTGAACTGTCACTGAAACTATATATTTATATCACAGGATAAATTCTTCATGAACATGTGAACTAAAACTGCTAAGAGTAAGGTAAAAATGTCACTAAGTAATAACTTCATACAAATGTAGAAGTAACTACTACAAACCATCAATATTAGTCTACAATATTGGACCTTGTAAAATCAAAACACCACATATAGAGTAATTTATGGTAATGAAATAGAGTGATTAAACAAAAATGATGATTGATTATAAAGATAGCAACTAAAATAAAAAAGTGTAAGATAAATAGAAAACCTAAATGATGGTAATTTTCTAATTGTTGAAATAATATTATTTTAAACTCACCTTGTCTGCTGATATGGGTCCTTGAGGTTGACAAGGGCTGAAGGCCATGAGGTCGGTCTTGGGCGGGCCCTCCCCGGAGCACACCCTCTGCCGCCGCTGCTGCGAGCACGACCAGCTCCCCACCGCGCTGGCGCACACCAGCGCCGGCTTCCCGGCCGCGCCCGCGCCCGCGCCCGCGCCCTCGCCCGGCGGCGCCGCGCAGCGCAGCGCCACGTACAGCAGCAGCGTCAGCACCAGCAGGCTGGACACGGCGCAGATGGCGACGATCAGGTACACGTTCACGTCCAGCAGCGCCGTCGGCGCGCCCGCCGCGCCCTCGGGCGCGCGCGACGACGCGCGGGGCGCCAGCCCGCTCTCCACCAGCGACAGCAGCACCGTGGCCGTGGCCGTGAGCGCCGGCTCGCCGTGGTCCTTCACCAGCACCAGCAGGCGCTGGCGCGGCGCGTCCGCCTCGTCCAGGGCGCGCGTCGTGCTGATCTCGCCCGTGTACAGCCCCACGCGGAACGGGCCGCGCGCGCCGCCCGCCGCCGCCGCCGCCGGCTGCAGCAGCTCGTACGACAGCCACGCGTTGTAGCCCGAGTCCGCGTCCACCGCGCGCACCTTGGCCACCACGTGGCCCGCGCCCAGCGAGCGCGGCACCAGCTCGCCCGCGCCGCCCGGCAGCAGCGCGGGCGCGTTGTCGTTCTCGTCCAGCACGAACACCTGCAGCGTCACGTTGCTGCCCAGAGGCGGCACGCCCGCGTCGCGCGCGCTCACCTGGAACTGCAGCAGCTCCAGCTCCTCGTGGTCCAGCGGCTGCAGCGCGAACACCCGGCCGCTCTCCGCGTGCACCGACACGTAGCTCGACAGCGCGCGCTCGCCCACCCGCCGCTCCACCAGCGAGTAGGACACCCGCGCGTTCTCCTGCGCGTCGGGGTCGCGCGCCGACAGCGTGCAGATGTGGCGGCCGGGCGCGTTGTTCTCCCTCACGAACACCGTGTGCTCGGGCTGCGCGAACGCGGGCGCGTTGTCGTTCACGTCGGCCACCTCCACCCACACGCTGGCCGTGGCCGACAGCGGAGGCGAGCCCCCGTCGCGCGCGGTCACCACCACCCCGTAGCTCGGCACGCTCTCGCGGTCCAGGGCGCTGTCCAGCACCAGCGAATAGTAGTTCTTGAAGGTGGACACCAGCTTGAAGGGGACATTGGGTGTTAAAGAGCAGGTCACCTGCCCATCAGCTCCAGAATCTCGGTCAAACACATTAATCAATGTGATGACTGTACCAGGTTGAGCATCCTCTGAGATAGGGAGAGACAGGGAAGTAACAGTCAACTCTGGAGCATTGTCATTAGCATCCAGAACTTCCACAAGAACTGTACAGTGACCAGCCAGTGGTAGGGAGCCTTTATCAATCGCCTCCACTCGTATTTTGTATGCTTTACTTTCTTCAAAATCGATTAGTCCTATCGCTGTAATTCCTCCATTTATGGGGTCTATGTAGAACTTAGATTTTATATCTGAAGAAACGTCACTAGAGAATGAGTAAATAATATCCCCATTCAAGCCTTCGTCTAAATCTGAGGCGTTTAGTTTAATGACCAACGTTCCGTTAGGTGCATTTTCTGGCAGTTTCACTGTATAGAGCGCTTTGTCGAAAACCGGGGCATTGTCATTGGCGTCCAGCACTTCCACAAGTAACTGAACGGTGCCAGTCAGCTCGGGTTTGCCTCCATCGGTGGCCGTGAGAGTTAAACGAAGTTCCGGAGTCTCTTCCCTGTCTAAAGGTTTCCTTAAGAGAAGTCCGAGAGGTTTTACCAGTTCGTGGTTGGTTGGTACCTCCAGCGTGAAATAATCACTGGGACTCAGTCTGTAAGTGAGCTGAGCGTTCTCCCCAATATCTGCATCCGACGCGCCCTCTAGTGGAAACCGAGAGTCAAGCGGCCTGGATTCGGCCATAAACAGATTCTTTTGTGTTGCTGGGAACACAGGGGGATTGTCGTTAATGTCCCTCACCTCCACCTCCACGTGGAACACCTGCAGCGGCCTGTCCACGATCACCTCCAGGTGCAGGCTGCACTCCGCGCTCCGCCCGCACAGCTCCTCGCGGTCGATCCGAGAATTCACAAACAGAATGCCATTCTGCAGGTTTACCTCCAGAAGGTCCCCGCGGCCCTTGGACGCCAGGCGGAACAGGCGGGGCACCAGCTCGGCCAGCTCCAGCCCCAGGTCCTGCGCGATGCGGCCCACGAAGGTGCCGTGTTTGGCCTCCTCGGGGACCGAGTAGTGGACTTGACCGGTGCCAACCTCCCAGGCAGCGATAATGATAATAAACAGCAGTAGATTCCGGTCTCCTGGGTCGCCTGGACTCGAGTACAACATTGCTAGTAATTGATTTTTTAATTCTAATCAGCATAACTTGCTCCAGATTTAGAAGAATCTTCTTATTCTTTCTTTACCATCCTCATGAGCTCGCCATTGTTCGGCATCCAGATAATGAAAGTGTGCTGGCTTTCCAAGTGACAACAGATGACTCGGTTTTGTTGAATATGAGAGGATTTCGCGATAAAGAGCGACATCATGTGGCCCAAAAAGTAAGTACGAATTCAAGATTATATTGATAAGTGATGGTTTTATTCCAACCTCTGAGATTTTCCCCTCTTTTTGTTAAACTGTAAGATAATATTTCTCACACCTGCTAAAGGTATTCTTTGAGGACTTAATTTCTGAATTTTTAGTTGTGACCATAATTGTGGTTGCATTGAAAATACATTTTCCCACAAAACTTTAAAATAAAGATAAAAATCTAAATGATAACAAAGCAAGTCATATTAACAACACTAAGTTAAAAATCCTTTGTACTAGAATTCTGGAAATCCCATATTGTTAGATTCAGTTTCCCCTTTAAGATAATTCCTGGACGCTCTAGGGTCCAGTCTCTCAAGAATATACAAATGGAAGGAAAACCTAGAATTGGTAAAATAAGGAATACAAGCAACTTGCATAGATGTCTTTCTTAATAAAACACAATAATAGAAGATTTTTAGGATCTCTGAAGAGGAAGAATTTGTATTAAGTGAATTTGGGGAAAAGTAGTCTGAATATCTCTTTCCATCCTAAATTATATATTTCATTCCAGAAATTCATTGTTCTTGTATCTATATATTCTTTTGCATCCTTAGACTATGTATTTTATAAGTATATCTCATCAGATAATTATTATTGCTCATCTGTCACACTTGGACCAGTCCTTTAACTCAGCTGGAAGAATTTTACCTTTTTTAATCTAGACAAGACAGCAAGTTGTCTTCTTTGAGTTAGTCCTATATTCCCAACTGCAGGTAAAATAACTGCATCTGTGTTCTAATACTTTCCGAGTTTGGTATTTGCCTAAAGGAGTTTTAAATATTGCTGTTACTCCCAAACAATTGCATTAGTTTCTGAATGTATCATCTTGTCCATCCCAACCTTCATTTGAACTTCTCTTTTTCTGGCAGTCATTTTCCTATTGCTTTATACTTTTAATAGTTTTCAAATGACTTGTGAGGTGAGAAAATACTTCTTAGTTGAGTACTTAGAGTCATCTACGAGATTTTTTCACAGCACTTTTCTTACCTTATCTCATATTCTTTCCTATGGGAAGCAAATGTTTTGACCACAGTGAAACATTCCCTCTTTCCATACACTTTGGGCATTTTCTATTTACTTAAGTTCTTTTGTTTGGAACAATATCTACTATTAATGTTCTCCCAGAGAAACCTGATCCTTTAAGAAACCATCAAAACCATTATAACCCTGGAAGGGCTCCTTCAACAAGGAAGATGGGCAGGAGATTGTTTTCCAATTTGAATCAATGATTACATTTCTTACACCTCTTAAATTATTCTACCTGCTAAGATGGTGATAATTAGCTACAACACATATCTTTATTTTTCTGTGGACTTCCTGAAATCTTGTTAATTTAGTGATTCTGGGCCCAGAGTCATGGTCTTAAAGACCCTCCCAAAAACTTTCAAAATATTTACTCAAGAGTGATGGCCATGGCTCTCCTCTGTTCCCTAAGAGAACAGGTTGATTTTAAGTTGTTCAACATTACTATATAAAGTATAATCTTTATTGATTTTTAAAAAGATTTATTTAGCTATGCATACAAGAGCTGGGGTACAGGCAGAAATGCGGGGGGGTGAGAGGATTCACCAGAGACAGAGTGGGGAACAGAACAGGCAGATTGACTGAAGTACACTGCTAAGGGGAGCAGCGGGCGAGTCAGGAGAGGTCTGCTGCACCATGTGGGTTGCTCTCTGGCCAGCCAGGGATCGAACTGGTGCTGCAGAGGCTGAGGACAGCTTCATGGGTTGTGTCTTAACCCCTTGTGCCATGAGGGAAGCCCCTCTTTATTGATTATTATAGCAATAGCCTATTTTGTCAATCTTAAGTATGTGTTTACTTGTGTGCTTATTTTTAAAACCCAGGGAAACAATCTTAATACTTTCTGCCATTTCAAGAATGGAAAATTAGGGCCTCCCTGGTGTCACAAGATTTGGTTAAGCATCAGCACTATGAAGCTATCTGCAGCCACTGCAGTATGAGTTGGATCTCCAGCCAGGGAAGTGACCCACAAGGTGCAGCAGACCCCTCCTGTCTTGCCTGCTGCTTGCCTAAGCAGTGTACTTCAGTATATCCACACATTCAGCTCCACACGCTGTCTCTGGTGAATCCTCTCACTTCCCTGCACCTCTGGCCTATGCCCCAGTTCTTGTATGCTCAAATAAAAATAAATCTTTAAAAATATATATAATAAAAGATGTCTTTCAATGTAGTACATGGCAGATTTTCTTTGTAGAAATCCTTGAAATGCTTCGGTGTTTCAAACATTGTAATCCACATTGATAAGCTCAGAATTTGGGCACCTTTCCCAGAGCTACATGGAGGCTCTTCTAAGGTTTGAGTCATGAATAGAGTGAGTTGATTCATAAATAGACTGATTTAATTTTGCTTTCCTTGATTTATTTAAGCCAACAACAAATTTTATCAGGCACTTACCATTTAGCTAATACTATTTATAAGTATCAATACCTTACAAGTATCAATGTACTAAATACTTATAATTCACTATGACAGGTACACTGTTTATCACCCAGACTTTAGAGATGGATACTGTTAAACCCAGAGATCAAACAATTATCAAATGTTGCACAAAACAAAATTGGTAGGAGTTGAATTTAGGTAAGGGAGTATGGCTTCAAGATTCACAACACTTGGGCCCTCCCTGGTGGTTAAGGGGTTAAAGTCTCAGCATTATCAAGCTATAGTCAGCGACCTCAGCAAGAGTTCATCCCCCACAGGGAGCTGACCCACAAGGGGCAGAAGACCTCTCCTGTCTCACCTGCTGTCCCCTCAGCAGTGTATTTCAGTAGATGAAGCTGTTCTGCTCCCCACTCCATCTCTCAGCCCCGACCCCCCGCCTCTGGCCTATACCCTAATTATTCTATGCATAAATAAATAAAATCTTTTAAAAAAGATTCACAACACTTAACAGGACTGTCAATGCCTTCAAATAAAGATATGGTGAATAGCAAAATCATAATACAGAGAATTGAAGTGGTTTCAAATAACTGTTACGAAAATTCAGACTTACTTTGACACAATGAGCATCATTTAAATCTTGATGCTCGCCCATATTCGTCACTCCAGGACACGGAGGAAGGCTGGGGCTGAAGGCCATGAGGTCGGTCTTGGGCGGACCCTCCCCGGAGCACACCCTCTGCCGCCGCTGCTGCGAGCACGACCAGCTCCCCACCGCGCTGGCGCACACCAGCGCCGGCTTCCCGGCCGCGCCCGCGCCCTCGCCCTCGCCCGGCGGCGCCGCGCAGCGCAGCGCCACGTACAGCAGCAGCGTCAGCACCAGCAGGCTGGACACGGCGCAGATGGCGACGATCAGGTACACGTTCACGTCCAGCAGCGCCGTCGGCGCGCCCGCCGCGCCCTCGGGCGCGCGCGACGACGCGCGGGGCGCCAGCCCGCTCTCCACCAGCGACAGCAGCACCGTGGCCGTGGCCGTGAGCGCCGGCTCGCCGTGGTCCTTCACCAGCACCAGCAGGCGCTGGCGCGGCGCGTCCGCCTCGTCCAGGGCGCGCGTCGTGCTGATCTCGCCCGTGTACAGCCCCACGCGGAACGGGCCGCGCGCGCCGCCCGCCGCCGCCGCCGGCTGCAGCAGCTCGTACGACAGCCACGCGTTGTAGCCCGAGTCCGCGTCCACCGCGCGCACCTTGGCCACCACGTGGCCCGCGCCCAGCGAGCGCGGCACCAGCTCGCCCGCGCCGCCCGGCAGCAGCGCGGGCGCGTTGTCGTTCTCGTCCAGCACGAACACCTGCAGCGTCACGTTGCTGCCCAGAGGCGGCACGCCCGCGTCGCGCGCGCTCACCTGGAACTGCAGCAGCTCCAGCTCCTCGTGGTCCAGCGGCTGCAGCGCGAACACCCGGCCGCTCTCCGCGTGCACCGACACGTAGCTCGACAGCGCGCGCTCGCCCACCCGCCGCTCCACCAGCGAGTAGGACACCCGCGCGTTCTCCTGCGCGTCGGGGTCGCGCGCCGACAGCGTGCAGATGTGGCGGCCGGGCGCGTTGTTCTCCCTCACGAACACCGTGTGCTCGGGCTGCGCGAACGCGGGCGCGTTGTCGTTCACGTCGGCCACCTCCACCCACACGCTGGCCGTGGCCGACAGCGGAGGCGAGCCCCCGTCGCGCGCGGTCACCACCACCCTGTAGCTCGGCACGCTCTCGCGGTCCAGGGCGCTGTCCAGCACCAGCGAATAGTAGTTCTTGAAGGTGGACACCAGTTTGAAAGGAACGTTGGGTGTCAGAGAGCAGTTCACTTGCCCATTGGCACCTGAATCTCGATCAGACAGACTGATCAGTGCGATGACAGTGCCCAGCGGAGAGTTCTCTTGGACAGGCAGAGATAGGGAGGTTATGACCATCTCTGGGGTATTATCATTCTCATCCAGGATTTTCACTATTACTTTGCAGTGTCCAGTTAAAGGGAATGTACTTTTGTCTACAGCATCAATATTAATTTCGTATAATTTACACTCTTCGTAATCCAGTTTTCCCTTAACTCTTATTTCCCCACTATTAGAATTTATTGTAAACTTAGATTTTACATTATCTAGAACAAGATTACTGAAGAGGTATACTATATCCTTATTAATACCCTCATCTGCATCTGAGGCGTTCAGTTTAATAACTAATGTTCCATTTGGTGCATTTTCCATTAATCTGACATTATAAATTGATTTGTCGAATTCCGGTGCATTATCATTTGCATCTAATACAGTAATCAACAATTGAACTGTACCTGTCAGTTCTGGTTTTCCTCCATCAGTTGCAATCAGCATTAAACTATGTTCTTGGGTTTCTTCTCTATCTACTGGCTTCTTCAAAACCAGCTCTAAAAAATTTGTTTCGTCTTCGTTTGCTCTAACATCCAAGTCAAAGTATTCACTAGGACTTAATTTATATCTCAATTCTGCATTTGCTCCGATATCCATGTCAGATGCGCCCTCTAGCGGAAACCGGGAATCCGCTATTCTTGACTCCAAGATAAATAATCTCTGTTCCTGTCTGAAGAACCTAGGCGCATTGTCGTTAATGTCCCTCACCTCCACCTCCACGTGGAACACCTGCAGCGGCCTGTCCACGATCACCTCCAGGTGCAGGCTGCACTCCGCGCTCCGCCCGCACAGCTCCTCGCGGTCGATCCGAGAATTCACAAACAGAATGCCATTCTGCAGGTTTACCTCCAGAAGGTCCCGGCGGCCCTTGGACGCCAGGCGGAACAGGCGGGGCACCAGCTCGGCCAGCTCCAGCCCCAGGTCCTGGGCGATGCGGCCCACGAAGGTGCCGTGTTTGGCCTCTTCAGTGACGGAGTAGTGGACCTGGCCGCTGCCAGCCTCCCAGGTTGTGAGGAGCAGAAGCGAGAGCAGCAGACGCCGGGATCCTGTATTTCTTCTCTGGGAATATACCATTGCAAAATCGTTCCAATTTTCAAACGTCTATTGCACAGTCACAAAATAGTTTTGGGAAATTTAATTCCCAGTTTGCTGAACTGGTTATTGCTCACCTTTTCAGCTTCAGCAGCGGAGTAAAATATGGAGTGACCGTTTTTCTGTCTAAGGAAAATACCCTGGATTCCTTTGTTGTTAAAAAAAAAAAAAAAAAATACAAAGTTTCGGTTTCCAGCGCCATCATGTGGATGAAAGGGTAAGTTTCTACTTTGTTATGCTTTACTTACCTTACTTTGGTTAAATATTTCCCAGTTTCAATGATGTGTGTATTCTTTATTCTCTTTCTCTCCAACCATTATACCAACATATATCACTAAATTTTAAATGAAATATATCAACTTGCATAAGGTATTGCAAAATCGCTATTGTTAGAGTTTTAACACCCCAATTTTTACTACAGTGATTTGTATTAGTCTATTCTCCTTAGGGAGAGACTTTATATAGTCCCCGACTGACATTAAAAGTTTTAGTTTTTCATTTGTTTCCACATTTATATACTTCATACTACAATTCCTGAGTTTTTCCTCTTATTTTGATGGGATGTTTCAATACTACCTCTGTTACTCATAAAACCAATTTGCATTCCTCTGATATCCATGTCAGACGCACCTTCTTTGCAGTATTTAATGTTGATCTTAAAGATTCTTACCAACTCTACTAATAGGAATTTCCACTAGCATTCACATCATCCAAATGCTAAAGAATTTAAACATTAATCAACTTTCAAGACTACTTACCTATTAGTTACAGATAATGATAATGTATAAATATTTTAATATGCAGTGGTAAAAAGGAAATTAAAAAATGATGATAAATCATGTGTTACAATATAATCATTTAATGTTGGTTCACCTTCTATTGTAGAAACATGATTGATGTGACATTTTAAGACTATACTATAACTAAATTTATTTTTGTAGTAAATATTAAGTGTTTAAAAACCAAACTGATATTTTGGTATTAACGATGTATGCACAGAAATTTAGAAAATATTTTCAAGATATATTTATACCCAATGAAGAAAATGCTATGAACAGTCTCACAGGTTTCTTTCAGTTTATAACTTTCTTTCATGTAAGATATTCTAAGAGAAAACAAAGTTTTTGACATTTGACCTGTCTTCACATGTTTTAGTTTATATTGTTTTTATTTATTTTTTTAAAGATTTATTTATTTATTTATACAAGCACTGGGTACAGTCAGAAGCGCAGGAGGGTGAGAGAATTCACCAGAGCCAGAGCGGGGAGCAGAGCAGGCAGAAGGACCAAGGTACACTGCTGAGGGGAGCAGCGGGCGGCAGGAGAGGTCTGCGCGCCATGTGGGACCCTCCTCTGGTGGCCGGGGAGCAGCCGGGGATCGAACCGGTGCCACAGAGGCCGCGGGCAGCTTCGCAACCCAGCGCTCAACCGCTGCGCCACCGGGGAGGCCCAAATGATAATCTCTTAAGTCATATTCAATTTTAAAATATTAGGTCAAATGAGTGGGAACAGCAAGGGTGAAGATTCTTACAGCATAAACCAGTATCCAGGATAAAAAAATTCTCCCTTAATTACTATAATTAATGAATAATAAACTGTAATAAGCTTGGTTCTTATGATTCAGTGGTGGGAAGAAAGGCAGCTTTTTAAAATAAATACAAAATCCTTATTCTACTTTATACTTATTAACTTAAATGAAACTAAAAATTAGAATGGGGGAGTATGAGGAAGAGAGAAAAATAAAATATCCAGATAAAGACAGAAAAGGAGGACTACAAGGGGGAAAGTTTCAGAATTAAAAAAAACTACAGCAGGGCCTCCCTGGTGGTGCAGGGGTTAAAGACAGTGCTATCAAGCTATCGCCATCCACTACAGATGAGTTCAATCCCTTCCCCAGGCCAAGGAGAAACCCACAGGGTACAGCAGACCTCTCCTGCCTCTCGCGCTCCTCCCCTCAGCAGTGTCTTCAGTCTGTCTGCTTGTTCTGCTCCCTGCTCTGTCTCTGGTGAATTCTCTCACCCTCCCACACCTCTGACTGTACCCCAGTTCTTGTATAAATAAACAAATCTTTAAAAAAAAAAAAAAACAGCCTATATGTAGATGTTGGAAAAAATTTTTTTAAAAAGAACTCATTTCTTGAGAACTGATCTAGGTTCAGTAGCATGTCCTTGGGGAAAATTAATCTTTGTTCCCATATCACAACAAGCGAGAAAAAAATCTAAGTAGATTGTACATCTAATGTGAAAAATGAAACCAAATATACCATAAGAAATTATCTTTATGACATAGAATTAAAAAGAAAAGATTGATAAATTGATCTCAACTAACATTTTAAATGTCTGTTGACCAAAAGGCAAATAAATGAGTGTTTAACTGTACAAAACATGAATGAAAAGACAAGCAGTGTAGTGGAAGATGGCAAAACAGGAAAAAAGGTTATGTACAGATTGTAAGAAATTTTGAAAGCAATAGAAAATTAGGTAGGAGATGTAAACAACCACTGCATAAAATAGGATATAAAAATAGCCAATAACAATGTATAAAGATGATCAACCTCATTCATAATTCAGAAAACATGTAATAAAGTCAAAATTACTGAAAATAAAAAATACATCCAGCAAACTGGCAACCATGTACATAATCTGGCAATGGAAAATTTTGCAGATGACATGGAGCAGTAACAACTCTAAAACAGGGCCTCCCTGGTGGCGCAGGTGGTTAAGCGCCGCACTGTGAAGCTGTCCGCAGCCTCTGCAGCACCGGTTCGATCCCAGCTGGCCAGTGAGAGTCCCACATGGCTGAGCAGATCTCTCCTGTCTAGCAAGCTGCTCCCCTCAGCAGTGTATTTTGTCAGTCTGCCTGTTCTGTTCCCTGCTCTGTCTCTGGTGAATCCTCTCATCTTGTATAAAAATAAATAAATCTTAAAAAAAAAAAAGAACTCTAAAACAGTGGTAGCACCAGGGTGAACAGATAATAGCATTAAGGAAACTATCATTACCTATTAAAGATAAAGATAATATAAATATGCTATGTTCTACCAATCTTGCTCACACTTAAAAAATAGAGGTATGAATTTACACAGACACTGAAAATTTAAACTATTATTAATGAAAGCATTGTTTGGATTAGACAAAAGGAAAAACAATGCAATATCATGTGGAATAAATACTTTATAACATATCCACAGAATAAACTACTAGAAAATGAATGAACTCCAACTACATATACCAATATGGATATCCCATAGAATGATGAATGATATACATCGCAAACTACAAGTGCATGAATGAACATAGCGTATTTAGTGTAATTCCATTTAAGTAAAGTTTAAGAAACAGATCTTAACTGATAACAATTATAGAGTGAAAATTGTGGTTACATTTGGGGAAGAGAAAAGGAAAAGTAATTTGGAAAATGGATTTGAATGGCTTCTGGAATAGATGTAACAGAACTTTTCACTTTAAATAATTGATTGATGTAAATCATTCTGACAGCACTTTTCAATATATTATGGGCAAATAGTACAAATTATTTCTAAAAAGTGCATTACTACTGAAAATTGAGGGAGAGGGCAACCACAAAATATATATTACTAGTTATATAAACAGGCAAATAAGAATAAAATTTTAAAATAATATTGCCTTGGGTTTCCTATAGTTTAAAAGAATTTAAATGGGTAAGTAGTAAAGAATTTTAATTCTCAGATTTAGATTCTGAAAAAAATTTTAATTAAGGGGCCTCACTGATGGTGCAAGGGTTAAAGTCTCAGCGCTATTAACCTATCACCAGCCACTGCAGCCTAAGTTCCTTTACTAGCCAGAGAGCAGACACATGGTGGCATAGCAGACCTCTCCTGTCCAGGCTGCCTCTCCTCTCAGCAGTGTATTTCATTCAGTAGACCTGCCTGTTCTGCTCCCCATTCTGTTTCTGGTGAATCCTTTCACCACCACCCCCTACACCTCTGGCCTATACCCCAGTTCTTGTATGAATAAAAAAAAATTTTAAATAAAAAATATTTCAGTCAATCCACATGTTCTGTTCCCCACTCTCTCTCTGGTTAATCCGCACCCCCAACCACACACCTCTGGCCTGTACCCCAGCTCTATGCAAAAATAAATAAATCTTTAAAAAATGAAATAACAAATAGCTAAGAAGTTGATATAGAGCCTCTCTGGTGGTGCAAGGGGTTAAGTGTTAGCAATGGGAAGCCATCCCAAGCCACTGCAGCATGAGTTCCATCCCAGGACAGGAAGTTAACCCACATGGCACAGCACACCTCTCCTGTCTCACCCCCTATCAGTTTAGCAGTGTATTTCAGTCAATCCACAAGTTCTGCTCGCCACTCTGTCTCTGGTGAATTCTCTCACCCCTCCCCCCCAACACACACACCTCTGGCCTACACCCCAACTCTTGTATGAATAAATAAATCTTTAAAAAAAAAGAAGTTGAGGGCCTCCTTGGTGGCACAAGGGGTTAAGAGGGAACATATGAAGCTTATCCTCAGCCACTGCAGCAGGAATTTCCATTCCCCAGTCAGGGAGCTACCCACATGGCACAGCAGACCACTCCTGACTCTCCGCTGCTCCCCTCAGCACTGAATTTCAGTCAGTCTGCCTGTTCTGTTACCCTCTCTGTCTCGGGTGAATCCTCTCACCCACCACACTCTGGCCACCACACTCTACCCCAGTGCTTGTATGCATAAATAAATCTTAAAAAAAAGAAGTTGATATAATAAAAGCAGACTAACTTCAGATTAAGCAAATGATATTAATAAACTCACCTTTAAAAGGGAATCCCCACTAGATGACTCTTGATTCTCTCTGTCCCGAGAGTCAGGTACACTGGGGCTGAAGGCCATGAGGTCGGTCTTGGGCGGGCCCTCCCCGGAGCACACCCTCTGCCGCCGCTGCTGCGAGCACGACCAGCTCCCCACCGCGCTGGCGCACACCAGCGCCGGCTTCCCGGCCGCGCCCGCGCCCTCGCCCTCGCCCGGCGGCGCCGCGCAGCGCAGCGCCACGTACAGCAGCAGCGTCAGCACCAGCAGGCTGGACACGGCGCAGATGGCGACGATCAGGTACACGTTCACGTCCAGCAGCGCTGTCGGCGCGCCCGCCGCGCCCACGGGC